CATCAAGAGGCTCTTTAGTTCTTCTTCACTGTCTGCCATTAGGGTGGTATCGTCTGCATATTGGTACTTCAATTTTAGTTAGTTAGGTATGCCATAGTACCTTTGACTACCTGCTAGATCCAATTGATGCTTTGTGTCTGGTACATGCTGTTTAATAAGTGCTTTGGCCTGATCATATCCCATGATGAATAGAAGACCTGGAGAGAAGCTCAAGGATGAGATTTTAGTTGCCACTGCCTGTTTCCATGTGGATTGAAAATCATGACTCATAGAAAATGGAGCAAGGCCAAGGAGAAAAAAAGACATGCTGAGCCAATAGTTGAGTATGGTCACCCACACTCTAGCCTCCACTTTCATGAAGCCTGTCTCTAGTCGCAGGGTGACGATTAGGGACTTGAAGTGCTGATTAGAAACACAATTAGGGACTTGAAGTGCTGACCTTAAAAATCTAGATTGTACAAGTTCTAATGGTGCAAAATTGGAGAAGAGGGCCAGCTGGGCACCATAAAGAAATTGTGTTATTGGCTTGGTTTCAAATAATTTGAGAGCTGCAGGTAAGTAGTGGCCACCTCTTGTCTTAAAGGGATTTAAGAATTGTAGGTGAGCTCCTCTGTGCATTTTCATTAATGTAGTCCCCGTGGGCTTTCCTACTGCCAACAAAATGGACTACCCCCATGTGTTTGAAACAGGAGGTCTGATCAACCTTGTGGCCACCTACTGTATGGTTCAGGAATGGCTCTTCGGCCTTTTGGCAAATGCCATGATTTTAGTTGTCTGATAACTGAGTTCTAGCTGGTTTTTCTTGCAGTACTGTGCTAGTGCTGTCAGTGTTCTTTTAAGGTCAATAGGTGTTTTTGAAAGTATTGCTGCATCATCTGTATAGAGCTGAACAGAGATGTGCCTTCCAGCAAGTTTTGGGACTGAAAGTCTGTGTTGTAGAGATGGTCCACTATAAGTTTATATAGAAATTGAATAAAAGTGGGGTCAATATGCAGCCTTGCTTGGTGCCTTTCTCAGTTTTAGTGGCACTGGTGAGATGGCCCTGGGGGTTACATCTAATTTTGAGTGAAGTCCCTTCATGTAACATACATATTAAATGAAGTACCTGTTGGTCAATCAAAGAGGCCTCCGGCTTTTCCCACAATTTAGCTCAGGATATGGAATCAAATGCTGCTTTGAAGACTATGAAAGAGGCATAGAGGGAGAATGTGTTGTAGGAGAAGTATTTTTCAATGAGATGATGGAGTACTAGGCACTGATCAATGGTGGACTGGCCTTCCCTAGAGCCCACGGTGCTCCTCTGCAAGTATGTTTTCTTGTTTCAGCCAGTTCTGAAATCTCCATTGTAGGAGTCTTGTGTAGAGTTTGTTGATTGTGTTGAGGAGGCTAATTGGTCTATAATTAGCAGGATTATCCTTTCCCCCCCTTTTAGATATAGGGACAATCATAACAAGCCCCCAGATATTTGGGGATTTGACTATAGGTAAGACCAGAGCAGGGGCCCAGAAGTCCAGGTTGTTTTTAATGGCCTCTGGAAGGATTATGTCTTTCTTGGGCATTCCCTGGTGTTACTTGGGCAACAAGGTCCTTGATTTCTGACACTGGCACTGGTGCCCATGGCAGATTTTCTATAGCAAACAGAGATCCCAATTCTTTAGTGGGGAACATCATTTGGCTTATCCAGTGAAAGAAGAGGAGGAGGAAGCTGTTTCTCCTATGAGAAGTTCCCTCAAGGCCAGGAGAGGCTCCTGAGATGGGGAAGCAGATGAGGGCATACCTCCAGATTGGGTTTCTGAAGGATAATGCTTGTCTGGGGTTTAATTTGCTTACAAGGCAGTTTCTTTTGGGTATAAACTATTTGGGATTGCATGGATTCCTTGAATATTCCTGGTGTGGAACTCTCAGAGGAGTCACTGTCAGTGTCACTTTCACTGTTACTGGTGAAGTCAGAATAGTGTGCTGACAGTATTCTGTGTGATTGAGTCAAAAGAGGGGCAGTAGTGTGAGATGGTTTAGAAAGTGAGCAGCTGAATGGGGCAGATGCATTAAGTTGGTGCTGGACTTCCATATCACTACCAGCACTGGGAGGGTGTGTCAGAATTGTTGTTTGGAGGTCTGTTAGTTTTTTTGTCAGATTAGTGAGTTCTGTATTTATAGATTTAATTTTCTCCCTTGATGTGTGTTTAGGCTGTTTGGCATGGCTGGAAGATTTGCTACATTTGGAGCATATATTTTTATGGGTCTCATGTGCAGGGTCATGACCATTTGTCACTCTCCCAGTGAGGAGGTCATGGACTAACATGTCCTTAAAGATTCTGACAATTTGGATGTGATGAATCTGCCATACGAATCTGCTCATTTGTGTGAGTCTGGCAGAGAGAGATGGCTGGTTGAAAGTCAAAAGTATGTAAGTATGAACATGTATTATTCTATTTTCCGTTCACCAACAGAATTACTGGAAATTTATCTAAGGACAGAGGACGAGGAAGCTCCATAGAACAGAGTGAAAAGAATGTTACAGAATGCCATAGAAGTATTTGAAGTTATGCTAATGGAAAATATAACAAAGGGTGGAACAATGTGTGAAAGAGGCAGTGGAAGAGAAAAAAATCATACAAGAGATGCAAAAAACTAAGGATGACAGAAAAACATTATATAATGTATATATAGAGAGAAAAATATAATTGCAAAGAATTAAGTTAAGTAAAGCAACAAGTGGGCTAAATTGTTACATCTCCTACCCACAATGGCTTGGGGCACAATTTTGTTGGACTTTATTACTGACCTACCACATGTCAAGGCCCTGAATATTGTTCTGGTGATAGTGGATTTCCTTTCTAAGATGGCTCATTTCATTCTCTGTCATAGGTTCTCTTATTTCTGCTCCTGAAACAGCTTATCTGTTTCCTGAAAAACTTTGCCCAGTCTTCTCATTCCTGACAGAGGCATGTAACTCAGAGCCTGTGTATGAAAAGCTGTATTTCACCTATTAGATGTAAAGCTCCTCCTGTTCTCTGATCAAGATCAGCAGAGAAACAGAGAGGAACAAATACCATCTCAGAGCAATATCTTCATTGCTATTGTACACATACCTTTGTCCCAAGGTAGAATTTGCTTACAACAGTTTCAGGATATCTACAGTTACCTATAGTCAAATAGTTCTTGGTCTTTCCCTAATCCAAAGACTCCAATTTTTTCCAGAAACTGCAAGTTGGTCAGCATCCCCACAAGGATCAGTTGAATTCTGCCAAGCATCCTACAAACTGTCATTGTCAGGACCCCCGCCCCCCCCCCAAGAAGATAGGTGCAAGTTCATTGGACTATTTCCCTATAACCTTTCAAGTTCTTAGTTATTGTACTGTTACCAAAAGTAAGATCCTTCCAGAATTCTTTTCACGTGATTTATTGAAAGAAGATAGGATAAGGTTACAGAAATTGCATTGCTTTCCATTTAGAATCCAGTTTATCTCCCAGATTCCTAAGGCATGGGTGGGAGTCTCAGTCTTTTACTAATAGCCCTTATGTGAATTGGTAAAAAGACTATAAATTTTATATGATAAAGGAGGAATGCCTGGACAAGCCATCTCTTGTCCAACACTACATATAAAATTAAGATTGGATTAAAATTACTGAGTATCTCACAAAATGAGAGTTACATCAAATAAGTCATAGATACTTAAGCCAGGATGATCTAGAATCAAGAATAAAAAGAGGTAACTAGGGAGAGGAGGTCCAGAAATATATTTTTGAGTTGGCTGGCAGAATGAAAGAAAAGGAAATGCTCGTTATTGTAATCAATTTTTCTTTTCCTGAAATATCCTGCTATGGTTCTATAATGCCTTTTCCAAGAATGCATGATTTCTATAGGGCTTATAACCTTTCCTTCTGTGGGACTGAGTTAGTTAGGTAGCTGTATTTTCACAGTTTGACCTAGCTCTAGTAATAGCTCATAGCTCTTCCAAGGATAGTCTTTGATGCCACCTATTCACATTATCTATTGCCTTTGCCTTCTACTTCCTTCAATCTGCCAATTTTTCCTAGTGGATTTAATCAATATTCATTGCATGCAAATAACTTAGATTTGATTTAATACTGGGATTCTTTTACGAATACACTAGACAATACATAAATTGTGTACAGTAGTATGCTTTCTTACTTTCTGGTTTATTTTTCTGGAATAAATTAATTTCATAATGCATTAACTTAATTTCTTTTAGAAAACTCTGAGCACAGCGTGGGAGCATTTCTTCCTCCTTCTTTTAATTCCAAATAACTATTCCTCAGGAGTTGAGGTAAGTTGAGGTAAGCCACTCTTTCCGTTAGAAAGCAGTCACAACTATCATATTTAGCTAGGACTTTCAGTTTCAATAATTTGATACACGAATTTAACTACTTTGACCACATTTTAACTGCTTTTTTATTTCAGCAGAAAGGAATACATCAAATAAACAATACTTGGTGCCTCTTTTTAACAAACAAAGGAAAAAAATATCTCAACGGGTGAGTGTGTGCTAATTCTCTGCTGGAACAAATACTATTTAAAAACCCTCTGATTCTCCCCCCCCCCCCCCAAAAAAAAA